TAACTTTTTGTCTCAGAGGCAAGATGCTACCTAGGAAGGTATGGCTGGCACACTGTATTAATGATGAAGCTATTTGGAGCTATTCTTGTAAGATGCTAAACCAGCTCTAGTCCTGATATTTTAGCTGGAGCTATTTGAAGAAGTGAAGGAATTCTTCTGGTTTCTTGGTTCTGGTGTCAGGGCAACATTATTTTCTCCATTTAACACCGCCAAAGCATTAACTATTTATTAATTTTATTTACAAATTGATCTTGCTGTGTAAAAAATATACGCTATTTTTTCATTGTTTGTTATACAATGGCTGACATTTAAGAAAATAGTTCATGACTCACAACAAAGATATATCTCAGTGAGAAAGATATATCTCAGTGAGAATGATGGATTCTAGGAAGGGGGTAAGCCAACCTTGGTTAACCAAGGAAATTAAGAACAACAACAAATTGAAAGAAATAATATTCAATGTAATTTAGAGTATTGAGAAAATTATTTTAAAAAATCAACATAAGACGAACAAGAAAATTAAAAAGAATGAGAAAATATACTTTGAGGGTAATTATGCAAAGCAACCGCAAGAGCCTCTGTAAATACATAAAAAAGATGAGCAAAGCCAAAGAGAATGAAGATGGGGAAATAATAATGGGGAACCAGGGAATGGCAAAGGAATTGAATAATGTTTTGTGATAGAAGTCACCAATAGCATTCCAAAAATATTAAATAATCAAGGGCAAAAGGGGAGAGTAAATAAATAAAATAGCCATCACTAGAGAAAAAAAAGCGCTTGGGGAACCAAAAGGGCTAAAAGCCAATAAGTCCCCTGAGCCTGACGGAACACATCAGAGAAGAGTAAAAGAAGTAGCTACAAAGATAATAGATGTTCTGGAGGTAATCTTCCAAGAATCCTAAGAGTCATAGAGTCATAGAGATGTACAGCACAGAAACAGACCCTTTGGTCCAATATGTCCATGTCAACCAGATATCCTAAACTGACCTAGTCCCATTTGCCAACATTTGGCCCATATCCCTCTAAACCCTTCCTATTCATATACCCCTCCAGATCCTTTTAAAAGTTGTAATTGTACCAGCCTCTACCACCTCCTCTGGCAGCTTGTTCTATACATACACCACTCGCTGCGTGAAAAAGTTGCCATCTTCAGAGGATTGCAAAACTGCCAAGATCCGTGTGGAGACAAAGTTCTGCTTTTATATTGGGAATACCTTCCATCATGTTGTGTGGCACTATCGTCGCATTAAATGGGACAGACTTTGAACCAATCTAGCAACTCAAGACTAGGCATGTAAGAGACGCTGTGGGACATCAACAGCAGCAGAATTGGACTCTGGCACAATCTGTAACCTCATGGTCTGGCATATCCCCCACTCAACCATTACCATCAAGCCAGGGGATCGATCCTGATTCAATGGAGAGTGCAGGAGGGCATGCCAGGAGCAGCACCAGGCATACCTGAAGATAAGGTGTCAACCTGGTGAAGCCACCAAACAGGACCACTTGCACACCAAACAGCGAAAGCAGCAAGTGTAGACGGAACTAAGTGATCCCCAAGCTAATGGATCAGATCTAAACTCTGCCTTATCCAGCCGTGAATGGTAGCGGACAATTAAACAACTCACTGAAGGAGGAGGTTCCACAAATATCCCCATCCTCAATGATGGAAGAGCCCAGCACATCAGTGCAAAAGAGAAAGCTGAAGCATTTGAAGCAATCTTCAGCCAGAAGTGCCGAGTGGATGATCCATCTCGGTCTCTTCTAGTGGTCCCCACCATTACAGCTACCAGTCTTCAGCCAATTCGATTTACACCACGCGATATCAAGAAATGGTAGGAGGCACTGGGTACTGCAAAGGATATGGGACCTGACAACATTCCAGTAATAGTACTGAAAATGTCTGCTCCAGAACTCGCTGCTCCTCTAGCCAAGCTCTTCCAGTTAGTTACAACACTGGCATCTACACGACATTGTGGAAAATTGCCCAGTTATGTATTGTACACAAAAACGCAGGACAAATCCAACCTGGCCAATTACCACCCCACCAGTCTATTCTCAATCTTCAGTAAAGTGATGGAAGGTATCATCAACAGAGCTATCAGGCAGCACTGCCCAGCAATTACCTACTCAGTGATGCCCTGTTTGGGTCACTCTGCTCCTGACCTCATTACAGCCTTGGTTCATTACGAAAAAAAAGAGCTGAATTCCAGATGTGAGGTGAATGTGACAGCACTTGACATCAAGGCCACATTTAACCGTGTTTGGCAGTAGGTATTAGGGGGCAACTTTGGTTGGAGCCATACTTGACGCATTGGAAGATGGTCATGGTTGTTAGAGGTCAGTCATCTCAGCCCCAAGACATCTCTGCAGGAGTTCCTCAGGGTAGTGTCCTAGACCCAACTAACTTCAGTGCTTCAATGACCCTTCCTTCATCATAAGGTCAGAAGTAGGGATGTTCGCCGATGATTGTACAATGTTCAGCACCATGCGTGACTCCTCAGATGCTGAAGCAGCCTATGTTCTAATTAACAAAATTATAGCTCTCAAGAAGCTTGACACCATCCAGGACAAACCAACTGCGAGCATCCACTTCCTCCATTTCTTATGCTCAGTAGCAGTAATCTGTACTATCTGCAGATACACTGCAGAAATTTACCAATGATCCTCATACAGCACCCTCCAAATGTAAGACCGTGTCCATCCAGAAGGACAAGGGCAGCAGATACATGGGAATGCCAACACCTGCATGTTCCCCTCCAAGCCATTCACCATCACGACTTGGAAATATATCACTGTTCCTTCAGTGTCACTGGGTCCATATCCTGGAATTCACTCCTTAATGGTATTGTGGGTCAACCCATAGCACATGGACTGCAGCAGTTCAAGAACGCAGCTCACCACCAGCTTCTTGAGGGCAGTTAAGGACAGGAAATAAATGCTGGCCAGCTGGTGATGCCCATGTCCCACAAGTGAATAAAATAAAAATATAGCACCCTTATTCAAAAAAGGAAGAGACAACAAACAGGCAAGTATATGCCAGTTAGCTTCATTTCCATTATTGGGAAAACGTTAGAGCCTATTACAAAGCTTGTGATAGCAGAGCATTTAGAAATACAAAAAACAGAGACAGCATGGTGTTGTGAAGGGAAATCATCCCTAACAAATTTATTAGAACTCTTTTGAAGATGTGAAAAATAGAATAGATAATGGGGTACCAAGAATGTAATGTATTCAGACTTTTAGAAGACATTTGCTCAAGTCTAACATGTTTTGCTACTTAATAAGACAAGATTCAATGGTGTTGGGTGGAGTATATTAGTGTGGATAGAGGATAGGTTAACTATTAGACACCTGAGAATTGGAATAAGAGTGGCATCTTCAGGATGGCAATTTGTAACTCGTGGAATGCCACGGGGATCAATGCTGGATCCACAATGATTTACAATATATATTAATATCTTTGATGAGGAAAGTGAATGTACTGTAGCCGAGTTTGCAGACGGTACAAAATAGGTGAGACAGCAAGTGGAGAGATGACACAGACTCTGCAGAGGGATATGTAGATAGATTAAGTGAATGGAATATGACATGAGAACATGTGATGTTATGTATTTTGGCAGAAAGAATAGAGGAGCTGAATATTGGGCAGTATGGTGGCTCAATGGTTAGTACTGCTGCCTCCCAGCATCAGGTACTCAGGTTTGATTTCAGCCTTGAGTGACTGTCTGTATTGAGTTTGCGCATTCTCCCTGTGTCTGTGTGGATTTCCTCCAGGTGCTCTGGTTTCCTCCCACAGTCCAAAGATGTGTAGGTTAGGTGAATTGGCCATGATAAATTATCCAATGTGTCCTGGGATGTGCAGACAAGGTGGATTAGCCATGGGAAATGCAGGGTTGCAGGGATAGGGTAGGTCTGGTTGGGATGCTCTTCGGAGGGTTAATGGGCCAAATGGCCAAATGGCCCGCTCCCACACCATAGGGATTTTATGGTTCAATGATTTAAATGAAAATGACTGCAGAAAGCTACAGTGTGGAGGGATTTGGGTGTCCTCATGCATAAATCAAAGAAAGCTGGCATTCAGGTTCAGCAGGTAATAGCAAAAGCAAATGGAATGTCGCTGTTTACTTCAAAAGAAATGGGATATAGAACTATACAAGGCACGAGTTAGATCATATCTAGAATATTGTAAAATGTTTTGATCCGCTTATCTGAGGAATGATACACAGCAGCCTTGGGTTGTGGACGGGTTTCACTCCAGAATCCGTTTGTTCACAAGTTGGAGCACATTCAGGACAGTGGAAAGCAGCCGTTTGTAACTACAAGAAATGTTTGTATTTCGGGTCTTTAAATTTTAAAGCCGTGCATGTATTTGTAAGTACAAGCGTTTGTAACTTGGATGTTTGTAAATTGTGGAGCCCCTGTACTAGCATTGGGGGCAGTCCAGAGAAGGTTCATTGGATTGATCCTGGGTTTAGAAAGATTTTCTTATGAGGAGAAATTGAATAGTTTGGGCTTGTACTCATGGAAGTTTATAATAACGAGAGGTGACTTTATTGAAGCAAAATTCTTAGGAGATTTGATAGAGTAGAAGTGGAGAGTTTGTTCTCCTTTCTCCCCTTCTTAGAGTAAGGTATCACCCAGCTAGGACAGAGATGAGGAGGAATTTGTTCTGTGAGGGTGAATCTATGGAATTTTTTACTGCATAAGCTGTAGAGCTGGCTAGGTAATTGTATTCATGGCTGAGATGAACAGATTTTTAATCAAGGGAAGGTAAGAGAATCAAAGATTATGGGGTAAGTCAAGAAAGTGGTATTGAGGATTATTAGATCAGCCACAATCACAGTGAATACCTGAGCAGACTCGATGGACTGAATAGCCAACTTCTGTTCTTATGCCTTATGGTCATTGTATTTCATAGTAATTCTTTATATAAAGCTTTGAAATGACTAAGCTTTAATGATAATGAATGTCTTGTCAATCTTTTATTTCTAACCAGAATCTAAACAACGCCTGATCGAAGCTCACATGCAACTGGAAGCAGAAGAAAAGGCAAGGTTATTGGAGAAGGTGAGTTTTTTTTTTGGTATTCATTCGTGGGATGAAGGTGTCACTGGCCAGGCCAGCATTTATTGCCCCTCCATAATTGCCCAGAGGGCAGTTAAGAGTCAACCACATTGCTGTGGATCTAGAGTCACCTGTAAGCCAGACCAGGTAAGGATGGCGGTTTCTTTCACATTAATGAACCAGATGGATTTTTCTGACAATCAGCAATGGATTCATGGTCATCATTAGATTCTTAATTCAGATCTTTTTTATTCAATTCATGGCAGGATTCAAACATGGATCCCCAGAACATTATCTGGATCTCTAGGTTAGAGTGTGTGAAAAGCAATGAGAGCATTGGAGGTGAGCTTTCTGACTGTGTCCTTTACCTTTTCTGTGTTGTACTGATTACTGGTACATTGCTGTACTGAGAGTATGTCACAGAAAGCTAGTCAGGTGGTTTGGCCCACAATTCTTCTTACAATGAGATTCCAATGCTGTCCTAACTCTTTCTCTATGTTTGGCCAAAAATGTGAGCTCATCCAAAATTCTGCTAACCTTATTTCAAATCAGGCTGAGGCCCGTTCACTCATCATCATTGTGTTTGTTGACCAAAGTTCAGTCACGTTTGGCAGCAATTTTAAAATTCTCATTGTCAGCTTCTACCTCTTCATAGACTCGCCCCTTTATATTTCACTTAAATCCCCCAGTGTTTCTACACTCAGATCTGTAACAAACCATAACATGGTAGAATTTAGCATTCCATTTTAGGGGTGGGAACTTGGATCAGAAACAAGTTTGCAATAAGGGTAATTACAGAGGACTGAGGCAAAGCTAGTTGGAAAAGTGTTGACAGACATTTAAGAAAATAGTTCAAGGCTGAGGTAATGATATATTCCGTGAGAAAGGTTTCTAGAAAGGTGATTAACCGGGGAAGCTAAGGATAGCATCAAAAGGAAAGAAAACATATACAGTGTGGCAAATGTAAGCCAGAGGATCGGGAAAATTCTGAAAACCAACAAAGATGACCAAACTAATAATAATAATAGAGGGAGAAGATCAACTTTAAGGGTAAGCTTGCAAGCAATATCAAGATGGGCAGCAAGAGCTTCTTTAAGTATATTAAAAGGAAGAGAAGGGGAAATATTGGATGGAAGATACTTGGATTTTCAGAAGGCTTTTGGTAGGGTACCACATATTAGGCTATTTAAATAAGTTAATATTCCATGGTGTGGAGGATAATATCTTAGCATAGATAGAGGATTAGCTAACTAATAGATCAGAAAGTTGGGATAAGTGTGTTTCTTTGGGGTGGCAACCTGTAACTAGTGGAGTGCCACAGGGATCAGTTATTTGCAATACATATTAATGAGTTGGATGAGGGAAATGAATTATAATAGCCAATATGGGGGCAGCACAGTGGCTCAGTGGTTAGCACTGCTGCCTCACAGCATCAGGGACATGGGTTTGATTCTACCCTCAGGTGACTGTGGAATTTGTACGTTCTTCCCGTGTCTGAGTGGGTTTTCTCTGGGTGCTCCGGTTTCCTCCCACAATCCAAAGGTGTGCAGGTTAGGCAGATTAGCCATGCTAAATTGCCCATAGTGTCCAGGGATGTGCAGGCTAGGTGAGTTAGCCATAGGAAATTCAGGGTTTCGGGGATAGGATAAGCATGTGGGTCTGGATGGGATGCTCTTCGGAGAGTTGGTGCTGACTCAATGGGGTGAATGGCCTGCTTCCACACTAAGGATTCTATGATCTTCTATGGTATTGCAAAAGATACAAAAATAGGTGGGAAGATAAGTGGTGAGGATGACTCAGTGTGTGCAGAGGGATATCGACAAGTTAAGCAAGTGGGCAACCACTTGGCAGATGGAGTAACAATGAGGGAAAATGTGAGGTTATGCACTTTTGGTAGGAAGTATAGAGGAACTAAATGTTATTTAAATGGGGGTAGACTGTAGAAAGCTGCAGTACAGAGGGATTTGGGAATCTTCATGCATAAATCACAAAAAGCTAGCATCCAAGTTCAATCAGTAATAGGGAAGGCAAATGGAATGTTGGCCTTTACTTTAAAGAAAATGGAGTATAAAAATACAAAGCCTTGCTAAGACTACATAAGGCACTAGTCAGACCATAGCCAGAATACTATAAACAATATTTAAGGAAAGATATACTGGCATTGCATGCAGCCTAGAGAAGGTTCAATAGTCTGGTCCCGGGTATGGAGGGACTGTTTTATGAGGAGGGATTGAGTAGATTGGGCCTGTACTCAGAGTTCTGAAGAATTAGAGGTGACCTTATTGAAACATTTAAAATTCTTAGGGGACTTAAATAAAACCAAGAACTGCGGATGCTGGAGATCTGAAACTAAAACAGAAATTGCTGGAGAAACTCAACAGGTTAGGCAGCATCTATGGGAAGAAAGCACAGTTAGCATTTTGAGTCTCATGACTCAGGGCCTGATTCCATCCATTCATGTTTTTTACTCACCCCACAGTCAGTCCTATTATGACATGGGTTGCTCTTCACACAGTTGCCTGTTCCCAAGTACTCCTAGGCCCATTAGTACATTATATGGGTTGCATTCAGCACAGCTAACCCATTTCCTCACTGTTACCTCTTACCACATATTCAACTTTTCTTCTGTCCTGACCTACTCTCCATAATCTCCTTGTTTACCTATCCCATATCTGTCTCTGGGCTCTGTCTCTAATTATTGCCCTCCGCTCACTTCTTCCTCCACCCTCAGCTCCCACTCCCCTCCAACTTTGGCTTCAGCATAAATACCAGTTTTTCCCAGATAGTAACAGTTCTGATGAAGAATCACTGGCATGAAACTCTGCTTTCTTCCCACAGATGCTGCCAGACCTGCTGGGTTTCTCCAGCAATTTCTTTGTTCTTAGGGGACTTGAAAGGTTCAATACAGAAAGGTTGTCTCCCCTTGTGGGAGAGTGTAGGGCCAGAGGACATAATCTCAGAATAAGGCACACTTATTTAAGACACGAGGGTTTTTTTCCTCTCAGAAGGTGGTGAATCTATGAAATTCCTTACAGGAGAGGACTGTTGAAGCTGGGTCACTAAATATTCAAGTCAGAAATAGATTTTTAATTAGTAGTGGATCAGGATTATAGCCAAAAGGCTGGGAATAAGTTTAGATTTATCAGATCAGCCATGATCTCATCGAATGTCTGAGCAAATTTATTGGGCTGAATGGCTTTCCTATCTTAACATCTTATTCTCCTAACCCCACCATCTTTGACCAAGCTTTTAATTATGAATCCCAATGGCTGTATTTTGGTTTGGTGTCAAACTTTAGTTATTTATGTTCCTGTGAATTCTCTCTGGATATTTTTCTACTTTAAAACCATGGTATAAAAGCAAGTTAATGCTGACCCTAGGCTGTGCCTGCAGTAGCAGCTGGTACAAAGCAGAAGCCAATGCACTTATTGTGTTGGTGCAGTGAAGAGCACTCTTTTCAGTTTGAGGTCAGGCATCGTTGACATACAAAGATAAGTTTACTGTCAATCAATCTGTCGTTTAAACTGTTTGGAATATAACAACTTTGACAGAAGGTGTTTGAAATCTGAAAATGTTCCTCAGCTCTGATGGCATTCACCTTGATCAGGAAATCCACATGGGTGAATGGAGGAAGAGGAAAAGGGTTTAGAATTCCAGGGCACATAGCCATTTGAAACTTTACTGTTTAGTGTGGCTCTTTCAACATAGATGACATTCATGCTTGGTGCTGGGAACTGGATATAGATAGTAATTCCCACACAGATGTTAACAGAGTGGCTGGTCTGTATGTGAAGACTCATCGGTCACCCCTTCTATTGACGTTATACGGAAAGGCTTATTAATCACATGGTATGGAGCTATTTCTCTATAACCGTCTTATCTGCAAATTCATCATTGTGGAAATTAAAAAAAAAATGTAATGGAGATTTTGTACTGATTTATTTGCTCAACTCCCCATCAATATTGTTCACATCTATCCATTAATTATCATCTCCTAGTGCAACCATCTAAATGTTACTTGGGTCTATAATATGTTATGAACAAAGATGGATGTGAGAAAGTACTCTGGTCCATTCCAGCCTGCCCAATACAATATTGATCAATTGTGTATCGCAATACAACCTCCACCTCACCCAAAAGCCATATGATCGAGGGAGGTAAAACAAATCTAGATTAAAAAAAAAAACAAAAAAAAAAAAAACGACCAGTCCGAGGAAAGAAAGTCAGGGAAATTCCTCTCCGAACATCGCACACGTCTCTGCTCTATGATCAGAATGAGTCCATCAGATCACACTGACTCTGCACTCCCTTCAACAGCTCACCCCTGTAAGTGATGATGTCTGCTTCAATCAGGTCCATTTGCAGTTCTCACCTGGAAGATTTTGACAAATCAGCATCCATCATACAACTGGCAGTGTGCTCAGCTGCCAACTGTACCCTGCAAAGGAAATCACCTCCTGACCTCAAACCAAAATATTTAACCTTACAACAGTCAAAATTGTGACTGACCTATTTATTTGAAACGAACTGTCAACTGGGATACAACCTATTCCTTTCAGCATCTGGTAAACCTGTCAGTGTATTGAATTGGCTCCAGTTCTCAAAACAGTGTACCTGTAACTTTTGCATGCTTTGCAGCAGGAGGCAAGATCTCGGATTAACTAGAATTTATGTAAATGTTTTGCGGTCCTGTTTATCTTTTCAAATTCTACTATGCAGCTTACAGAAACGGAAATGGTGTCTGGTGTTACTTTAAGCTTTGCTGATGGCACTGCTGATTGCAGTAAGGCAATTAACATCCTTACTTGGAGCAATGCAGAAATGAAGTTAGCTCTGCTGCATGTGTGTGAATTTGGATCAATTGGAATCTGCTCCTATGATGCTGCTTGGCCTGCTGTGTTCATCCAGCCCTGCACCTTGTTGTCTGGAATAACCTGGTGTTCCTTTACCATGTCACAGGGAGAATTTGATGAGATTTTCCATTTAATCTCAGATCTCTTTAA